TCGCATCGTCGATGTCGTCGGCGTCGCCACTGTTGTCGCCTTCGTCTCAGTTGTCGTCGGCAACGCAGTCGCCACTGTCTCCGTCACCGCTGTCGTCGTTGTCGCTGCCGCAGCCGCCGCCATCGCCGTCACCATCGTCTGTGTAGTCGCCGTCGCCGCGACGGCGACGACGGGACGGCGACCACGGAGCATGCGACGATGCCGTCGCGACAGCAACGTCGACGGCGACACTGGGATCTCGATGTTCCAACAACCGAGACGCCACAGGTTCAAACGGCTAGAATTAAGTCGGGCCTGTCCCTCTACAGGAGGAATATTCAAAAATATATTTAAAAAACAAATAGTCTTGTGGCGATGGCCTGGCTATGTTTGATTATGGTCGGAGCTTTTTGGGGCTATATATTTTATCTTCCGTCCAAAATCCGCCTGTAGCTGTGCATGCCCGGTTTAAGGCTTGATGGGCGTCGCCCCCCCTCACATCCCGAGGGGCGCGGGGCGGGGCGGGCGGCCGTCGCCCGCCTCTGCCACTCTCAAGGGATATGGGTGCCTGCGCTGAGCATACCACTTATCAGTCCCGAGCTCCCGCGCTATCACGGGTAAGTCGGGTTGGCCCCTCTACAGGAGGAATGTATGACAATAGTGGTAAGGATAAATCGTTTGGGAACGATTGTTTTAGTATTGTTTGGTCATTTGGGGTATTTCCCAATCATGTTGTGATGTCGGGCCCTCGTTTTGGAGAGACGGTCCTCGGATGTTTTTCCGCCTTTCTGTCGTTTGTTCTTCCCTCAGCTTTTCCTCCATTTTCCCATCTTTGCCTCTGCCCTGCGCATGGATTCGTCGTCGTCGCCATCATCGTCATCATCAGCATCAGCATCATCATCGTCGTCGCCATGTCATCGCCATCATCATTATCGACGTCATGATCGATCACATCCGCTATCGTCACCATCATCGCCACCAAGTTCGCCACACCCCTTACACGTTTCGTGGCCCCACGGGGAGCCCCATGGAAGATCTCAATAGCAGTGTTCGCATGCGTCCCCCCACACAACAAAACACATGGTTTCGCGGCCCCATAGGGAACCCCACCTAAGGCCCTAGCGGCGGTGTTCGCATGCGTCCACCCCACCCAGCACCACGTTTCGTGGCCCCACACGGAGCTCCACCTAAGGCACCAGTGGCCCCCCCGCCCAGTACGGCGTTTCGTGGCCCCATTAGGAGCCCCACCTCAGGCCCCAATGGCGGTGCTCGCATGCGTCCCCCCCCCCCTTCCCCGCCCAGGGCAGTGTTCCGTGGCCCCACAGGGAGCTCCACTTAAAGTCCCAGTGGCGGTGTTCGCATGCGCCTCCCATATCCAGAACACCGTTTCGCGGCCTCACATCGAGCTCCACTTAATGTCCCAGTGGCGGTGTCCGCATGCGACTCCCCCACCCAGGACAGCGTTCTGTGGCCCCACAGGGAGCTCCACCTAAGGTCCCAGTGGCGGTGTTCGCATGTGCCTCCCATTTCCAGAACACCGTTTCGTGGCCCCACAGGGAGCCCGATCTACGGCCCCAGTGGTGGCGTTCGCGTGCCACCCATGACAGCGTTTCGTGGCCCCACAGGGAGCTCCATCTGGGCGGAGCGACTTGCGGAGCTGCGGAGCCCTGCATGGCGTACTGCAAAGCAGGCACCGCCTCGTGGCCCACAGAGGGGACACCCTCACACATTTCGCGCCACCCCCCATAAGAAACCCCACCGAAGATTATTCACGCGATCGCGGTACCTACAGCTGAATATGCGTATCCCCCACCCAGTGGCGGTGTTCGCATGCGTCTCCCCCACCCAGGACAACGTTTCGTGGCCCCACAGGGAGCTCCACCTAAGGTCCCAGTGGCGGTGTTCGCATGCGTCTCCCTCACCCAGCACAGCGTTTCGTGGCCCCACAGGGAGCTCCACTGAATGTCCCCGTGGCGGTGTTCGCACGCGTCTCCCCCACCAAGGACAGCGTTTCGTGGCCCCACGTGGAGCCCCACCTACGGCCCCAGTGGCGGTGTTCGCATGCGTCTCCCCCACCCAGGACAACGTTTCGTGGCCCCACAGGGAGCTCCACCTAAGGTCCCAGTGGCGGTGTTCGCATGCGTCTCCCTCACCCAGCACAGCGTTTCGTGGCCCCACAGGGAGCTCCACTGAATGTCCCCGTGGCGGTGTTCGCACGCGTCTCCCCCACCCAGGACAGCGTTTCGTGGCCCCGCAGGGAGCTCCACTTGAGGCCCCAGTGGCGGTGTTCGCATGCGTCTCCCCACCCAGGACAGCGTTTCGTGGCCTCACAGGGAGCTCCACCCAAGGCCCCTGTGGCGGTGTTCGCATGCGCCTCCCTTACCCAGAACAGCGTTTCGTGGCCCCACAGGGAGCCCCACCTACGGCCCCAGCGGTGGTGTTCGCGTGCCACCCATGACAGCGTTTCGTGGCCCCACAGGGAGCTCCATCTGGGCGGAGCGACTTGCGGAGCTGCGGAGCCCTGCATGGCGTACTGCAAAGCAAGCACCGCCTCGTGGCCCACAGAGGAAGACACCCTCACACATTTCGCGCCACCCCCCATAAGAAACCCCACCGAAGATTATTCACGCGATCGCGGTACCTACAACTGAGTATGTTTGGGTCCTTCGCCAGGCTAATTTATGAAGTTTATACTTACAACGTCGCACCGGGTCCAGGGGCTCGGGGCCGGGACCTCGACCACAAATGTGGGCCCCGGGGGGCCCGGAGGCTCGTCGGACCGCCGGACGCCGTCCAAGATCGTTCGCAGGCGGCTTCGGAACGCGCTCCGATGGCTCCAGATGCCTTCCAAGACGCCTGTCATGACACCAAGAAGGTCCCAGAAGCCTCCAAGACGCTCCGAGAGGCAGCCCAAGAGAGGCCCAAGAAGCAAAAATCGTGCCATTCCTATGGGAAAACGTATATGTTTCGCATGTTCGCCTCTTGGGCTTTCACCGCGTCCAAGACGGCCCAAGAGGCGCCCAAGACGGTCTACGAGGCCTCCGGGAGCGCTCCAAGGCTGCGCACGAGTGGCCCAGGACGGCCCCAAGACGGCCCAAGAGAGCCCCAAGACGAGTTCGAGAGGGGTCCCAGACGGAGAAAGCCAACCTCGAATTCCGAGCTTCCGGCCCAAGAGGCTCCAGGAGGCGCCAAAATGCCGCCAAGAGGCGCCAAAAGGCTCCCAAAAGCACCCCAAGACGTTCCGAGAGGCACCCCAAGAGAGGTCCAAGAAACAAAAATCGTGCCATTCCTATGGGAAAACGTATATTTTTCGCATGTTCGCATCTTGGGCTTTCACCGCGTCCAAGACGGCCCAAGAGGCCTCCAAGACGGCCTAGGAGGCCTCCGGGAGCGCTCCAAGGCTGCGCGCGAGTGGCTCAGGACGGCCCCAAGACGGCCCAAGAGAACCCCAAGACGACTTCGAGAGGGATCCCAGAAGGAGAAAGCCACTCTCGGATTCCGAGCTTCCGGCCCAACATATCCCAGGAGGCGCCAAAACGCCGCCCAGAGGCGCCAAAAGGCTTCCAAAATCAGCCCAAGACGTTCCGAGAGGCACCCAAGAGAGGTCCATGAAGCAAAAATGGTCCCATTCCTATGGGAAAACGTATACTTTTCGCATGGTCGCCTGTTGGGTTTTCACCGCGTCCAACACGTCCGAAGAGGCTCCCAAGACGGCCTAGGTGGCCCCCAAGAGAGTTCCAAGACGGTTCACGAGGCGCCCAGGACGGCAAAATTGGACTCCAAAATGGCCTAAGAGAGCCCCAAGGCGTGCCTGAGAGGGGTCCCAGAGGGAGAAAGCCACTGTAGAATTCCGAGCTTTCGGCCCCAAGAGGCTCCAGGAGGCGCCAAGAGAGCTCCAAAAAGCCCCCACGAGAGACCCAGGACGCCCCAAGAGGCTCCAAAGGCGGCCCAAGAGAGCCCCTGGGTCTGTGACTCGACAGAACCTAAGCGCGCGCGAAGCGCGCGCGTGGTTGAAGTTTTTGCATTTATTTGTCATCCAAAATCTCCTTGTAGGAGGACGTGGCCGACCTACTATTACGGCTCGATGCCACCCAAAGATGGAAAGCCGATTGGGGTCTGCGGTGGCCTAGCATTGTTTCTGGCCAGCAGGGAGGTGGAGCAGGTTCGAAGTACTGGGTTCGGGAAGGTTTTTGGAATCTTTCGACCCCCCGGGGCCGGAGTCGTTCCCAGGGGCCGTCAAAAACTTATCCGAGGTGAGAGATGGTTCCAGATGGACCCCGGTCCCTGGACGGATTTTGAGCAGATTTGGCTTCATCCACCTTCCTGACCGATTTTCCGGGGTCTCAACCTGTTCAGCCCCCCTCAGCCGCTTTCAACCCCAAGATGTCCCACCCATGCCCCGTGCAAGAGCCAGCGCACACGCGCCACTTGAGTCAGCTTAGTTCGTTCCTGCGTTCGTTTCGTTGTTTGTTTCTTGCTTTCAAGCCCCCCTGAGCTCCCGCCTCTTTCCTCTCCGTGGCAGTTGCCTTAGAGTGCCATCATCTGTGTTTAGACTCAAGCCACTCGGCCTACTTTCCCCTACGAACACGAACTTTTACTTCATTCGAGTTCCAGCTTTTCAGCAAGGCATGGCAAGGAATTGCGTCGCTACAGTGGCCCTCTTGCTCTGGTTCGGTCAGTGCAGGGGGATCAGCCTTCACGATTGTGGGGGGCATAACGACAGCAAGCCAGAGCCTCATCCCAAAAGCCATCGCAAGGCCAACGCAGGGGCAGCACTCTCAGCGATGATGGGCTCCTACCCAGGGAGTTCCAGCGGTGTGTCTGGTGTTGTCTCGGTGACGGTGTCCAGTGGCCTGCTGAAAGTCTCCTACACGCTGACGGGCTTGGACGCGAGCTTGACAGCAGGCGGGCTGCACATTCACTCTGGATCTGGAACCGATGTCTGCTCCGACTCGTCCCTCCCAGGGGGGCACTACTTCGCCACTGGGCACACCGATCCGTGGTTCACAACGTGGTCGAAGACCGCCGGCTCTACCACAGCCACGGGCTCTTTCTCGGTGGGCACGAGTGGTTACGACACCCTTGCCGACAACGAGCTGCATGCCGTGGTCGCGCACGGTGCAGGGGGGGCCCGAGTGGGTTGCGGATTTCTCCAGTATTACGGAGGCCTCACGTCGGCTATCGGCGAGTATCCAGGCACTTCGAGCGGCGTCAGTGGGCTTTTCAAAGTCTCGGTGTACACGGGTGTCCGGACGGGGAACAGAGTGAGTGACACGTTGCCGTTGGGCGCCCGTCAGCATGCTACCCCTTTGCTGCTGTCCGAGGGCCCGGTGTCTCTGCAGCAGGGGCACGCTGATGGCTTCCCCACGGCGGCGCGTCATCGACATTGGCTTCTGCTCTCCCAGGTGTGCTCGAAGTGTCTTACACATTGGAGGGTCTCGCGGCGAGCGAGACGTCTGGCGGGCTGCACATCCACTCCGGGTCGGGTACGAACGTGTGCTCCGACGCCACCCTCCCGGGCGGCCACTACTACGCCACAGGCGTGACCGATCCGTGGTTCACAACTTGGTCGTCGGGGGCAGCGTTGGGAGGAAGTAGGCCAAGGGGGGGGACGCATCGACCTCCAATCGCCCATGGATTGCCGAAAGAGGCCCGCGAGCCCACCCAGCCGAAGGATGCGCTGATTCGCCATCGGAGGCCGATCGCCGACCTGTCGGCGATGCATCGCCGATTCCAGCTCCGCGTTGCCGCCCTTGAGCCCGTCTCCCCCTAACGTGCCCCCTTAGGTCGAAGCCTTCTGGTTCCACCAGTGCGTCGGGAACCTTCGTCGTCGGCGCGTCTGGCTACGACACCCTGGCTGAGAATTACCTTCATGCCGTGGTAGTCCATGCCTCCTCGGGCTCTCGAGTCGGTTGCGGTTACCTTGGAACGTACACAACTCTTTCCAGCGAGCTCGCCGCGGCGATGGGGCCCTACCCAGGCTCTTCCAGCAGTGTTGGGGGTGTCGTATCCGTGAGCGTTATGGATTCCGGCCTTCTCCGATTGGCCTACTACGTGGATGGACTCTCGGCCAGCGAGACTTCAGGCGGCTTGCACATTCACTCCGGCTCCGGCGAGAGTGTCTGTTCCGACGCGTCTCTCCCAGGGGGGCACTATTTCGCGTCTGGGTTTGTCGATCCGTGGTTCACCACATTCGAAGAGCAAAAACGAGATAAAGCATAAACCTCTCGGAGCTCAGCACGGACCTCTTGGATCTGAGCTGGGGCCTCCCTGGCGGCGGCGCCGCCGCCCGTGGCGCGCTCCTTGCGCCAGGGTGGGTGGTCCTCCAGTGCATACCCAAGAAGTCCGCGCGCACCATCGAAGGCTTAGGTTTGTATAGAGTTTTGCTCTCCTGCACATGGTCGAAGTTGGCCGGCAGCACATTTGCCAAGGGCTCCTTCACGGTGGGCGCGAGCGGCTACGACACGCTCGCCCAGAATGTGAACCACGCGGTGGTGCTGCACTCTGCCAGCGGTGCACGCATCGGCTGCGGGTCCGCCGGCGCCGGCAACTCTTTGACGGCCGCCATGGGTTCGTACCCGGGAGCTCGAGGGACAACATGGTGTTGGATGATCTGAAGTACGCTTGTTATCCCAAGCGTGTGTTGACCCGCTTCTGCTCCGCCGATAGCCTGGGCCTCTCACATGGGGTCGGAGCAGATGGGGTTGGAGGATCGCGCCGCGTCGCCGATGCATCGGCGATGCGACTCGATGTGGAGCCCGATTTGCTCCACGCCGACGTCGCCGATGCATCGCCCACGTCGGCGATGCATCGCTGGTGCATCGCCGATGCGGCGCGATCCTCCGACCCCATCTATTCGGACCCCATCTAGGAGGCCTCTAGATGACGCGCGGCCTGTTTTTTGCCCCTGGTGTACCGCCTGCGTCGCATTGAAGTGTTTCGGTGGACGATCACACGTTGGTGCCAGCATACGTTCTGAGGATCATCGGCCTGCATACTTGAGCATGCTTGTAGGTCTGCGCGGATTTCTTGGTTCGGCGTCCCCCTGGCGGCGCCTCTGGTGCAGCGCCGATCCCAGACATCCGCGCGGACCTCCGAGCCATTGTGTCTATGCCGTTTCTGCTGTTCTTCCAGGAACCTCGAGCGGGGTCTCCGGGTCCGTGATGGTCAGTGTGAGCATGGGCCTCCTCCATGTGACCTACACGTTGACAGGACTCTCCTCGAGTGACACGTCGGGCGGCCTGCACATCCACTCGGGCCACGGTGAAAGTGTATGCTCCAGCTCGGCCCTGCCAGGGGGCCACTACTTCGCCACCGGCTTCACCGATCCGTGGTACACCACCTGGAAGAAGACCGCTGGCACCACGTCGGCGTCGGGTTCCTTCTCCGTACTCGCGTCCGGCTACGACACCCTCGCCGACAATTATCTCCACGCAGTCGTGGCCCACGCTGGCTCGGGTGCACGGATTGGGTGTGGTGTGCTTGGCGGGTCCACTGCAAGCCCGTTTGCCACGGGGGACCCGCATCTGCAGAACATACATGGTGAGAGATTTGATCTCTTGAAGCCAGGCCACCATCTTCTCATCCAAATTCCTCGCAAGAGCTTTGAGAACACTTTGCTTCGTGTAGATGCGGAGGCACAGAGAATGGGTGGACAGTGCACCGATATGTACTTTCAGGAGCTGAACATTACAGGGGCGTGGGCGGAAGCGCAGCAGACTGGCGGATTCCACTACCACGCGCAGGACGTTCACAGCAGCAAGCCGCGCTGGGAGCACTTCGAGAACGTGCAGCTTAAAGTCGCCCGGGGTCGCACGCAGCAGGGCATCAAGTATTTGAATCTGTACGTCAAGGACCTCACGCGCACGGGTTACGCTGTCGGAGGCTTGCTGGGAGATGATGATTTTACTGACGCGGCAACGCCTGAAGCGGGATGCGTTCGGCAAATGGCCTTATAGACTGGGTCCTCGCGCCTGCGGTGCTCTCGTTAGCTGGTTTCCGCGAGCACGACCGTTTGTTGCATCCGAATCTCCTCAAAAACGCTGTCCTTGGAACCTGGTTGCCCGTTCTGTGCGCTGGGCCGCTAGTCTGCGCAAGAGATGATTTTGTCCCCACCATCCTGTGGTGCTGGGCCCTCGTTTCGAAGAGAGCGCCCCGCGCTCCGTCTCCTCCTCGCCCCTCCTCCCCCCCTGCCTCCTCCCTCCCTGCCTCCTCCCTCCCTGCCCCTCCCTCACTCCCTCCCTCCTCCCTCCTTCCTCCCTGCCTCCTCCCTCCCTGCCTCCTCCCTCCTCCCTCCCTGGCTCCTCGTTTCGAAGAGAGCGCCCCTCCTCCTCTCCCTGCCTCTGCCCTCGGCGTGTCTACCATTTTCAGCGCACCTAACACAGCGCTTCGTGGCCCCACAGGGAGCTCCACCGCGGGCCCAAGTGGTGCCCGCAGGCGCCCCCCGCCGCTCATCTCGGCACACCCCATCATACGCTTCGTGTCCCCATAGGAATGAGGAGAGGAAAAAAACACAGACACACTGAATCTTCGATTCCCCAGAAAATATGGGAAAATATGGGAAGTGGGGGGAAGACAGAAACCCCGAAGATATGGGAAAATATGGGGAATCTTATTATTTGTGTGTATTGGAGAGGCCTGACGGCCGGTGCCGCCGACCCTGATCGAAAGGGCTAGGAGTGGGGGGAGGAAGCGGAGGAGGAGGAGGAGGAGGAGGAGGAGGAGGAGGAGGAGGAGGAGGAGGAGGAGGAGGAGGAGGAGGAGGAGGAGGAGGAGGAGGAGGAGGAGGAGGAGGAGGAGGAGGAGGAGGAGGGAGGAAGGAGGAGGAGGAGGCAGGAGGAGGGAGAGGAGGAGGAGGGAGGAGGAGGAGGAGCAGGAGGAGGAGGAGGAGGAGGAGAGGAGGAGGAGAGGAGGAGGAGGAGGAGGAAGTGTGCATCCTTTGTGTGCCCGTTCGAAGAAAGTGCGCCCCGGGAGTGTGATATTCTGACTTGGGACGTGCTCCCGGAAGAGGAAGAAGTGCATCTCGGGCGTGCCCGCTCGAGGAAAATGCGCCCCAGGGGGGTTGTATTTTGACTCGAGGCCCGCTCCCGGGACGCCTCTGCGGGAGGAGGAGGAGGAGGAGGAGGAGGAGGAGGAGGAGGAGGAGAAGGAGAGAAGGAGGAGAGGAGCAGGAGGAGGAGGAGGAAAAGGAGGAAGGAGGAGGACCAGGAGGAGGAGGAAGTGCATCCCGTGCGTGCCCGCTCGAGGAAAGTGCGCCCCGGCGGGCGTCGTATCTGCCCTGGGACCCCCCCCTCCCCCCCCCCCTCCCCGTCCCTTGCGGGGAAGGGATCAAAGGGAAGGGGCTTCCCTTCGACTCCACTAGACGTCGTTTAATTTCGCTTTGGGTAGCGCGCTTGAGGAGGAGAGCCCTGGGAGGGGGAGAACGGAGACGACAGAGACGAGGAGTCGAACGGAAAGGCCCCTCACACACGCCGACAGGGTCGGCGGATTTATTTGGGTGTCCTGGGGCCCCATAGGAAGCTTCACCCGATGCCCAAATGGTGCCGCCCGCACGCGTCCCCGCCACCCATTTCGGCATACACACACACACACACACACACACACACACACACACACACACACACACACACACGCACAAAACACACCTTTCGTGGCCCGATATGGAGCCCCACCCAGGGCCGAAATGGTGCCGCCCACGTGTGTCCCTGCCACCCATTTCCGCATACCCCTCACACGCTGCGTGGCCCCATCGGAAGCTTCACCCAATGCCCAAATGGTGCCGCCCGCACGCGTCCCCGCCACTCATTTTGGCACAGGCACACCCCGCACGCTTCGGGGCCCCACCCTTGGCCAAAATGGTGCCGCCCGATCGCGTCCCCCGCCATTCATGTCGGCGAGACTTTTGCACCTTTCATGGCCGCACAAGGAGCCGCACCGAAGGGCCCCAATGGTGCCGTCCGCATGCGTCCCGCCGCCCATGTTGGCACACCTTTCACGCGTTTCGTGGCTCCATAGGGAGCTCCACCCAACGCCCCAATGGGTTGCCCGCACGCGGCTTCGCCATTCATTTCGGCACACCACTCGCACGCTTCGTGGCCCAATCGGGAAATCCACCGAAGGCCACAATGGTGCCTGCCACCCGCATGCGTCCCCGCCGCTGCTTGTGGCATTCCCTTCACACGCTTAGTGGCCCCACAGGGATCTCCACCCGAGGCCACACGTGGTGCTCTTCGCATGTGTTCCCGCCACCCAGTGTGGCACACCCGTTAATCGTTTAGTGCCCCCTTAGAGGGCTCCAACGAAGGCTCCAATGGCGACGCGTGCATGCTGTCCCCCCCCACACACACAGTTTTTTCACACCCCTCGCACTGATCATGGCCCCACAAAGAGCTCCACCCAGTGTCCTAGTGCCACCGTTCGCATGTGCCCCCCCACCCATCCCCTAACATGTTTCCCATGCTTCGTGGCCCCACAGGCAGCTCCAGCTCCACCCAAGGCTCCATGAGGAGATTCACTGAAGGCGGCATGCCCGACGACAGTACTCACACCTTTATATGGTTGGGTCCTTCGTGGGGATGATTCGATCCACTGGCGATAACAGGAGTGACCGGTGAGGGGGAGGGGCGGAGCGGGCCGGTCACGTCACGATGCGCGCCGGAGACGTCTGGGAATGTTTTGGAGTTGGTAATTTTCAAATGGCGCCGGCGCGAATCGTGACGTCACAAGGAGGAGAGGGGGGGGGGGGCAACGGCCGTTTTCGCTAACAAGTGGCACGCGTGCCTTGGCTCTTGCACGAGAGGACGAAGATGAGGAGGAAGGGACAAAAAGGCAGGGGGGGTCCCTGGACTGCTGGGGAACGCTCGGAGGTCGGGGCGGAGGGGGCACTGGGCGGAGGGCGCTGGGCTGCTGGGGAACGCTGAAGAGTGAATCGGGATGGAAGGGGCACTGGGCGGGGAGGGCAATTGGGCTGCTAGGGGCTGGGGAGTGAATCGGGATGGAGGGGGCACTGGGCCGAGAGGGCGCTGCGCTGCTGGCTGCTGGGGAGCACTGGGCTGCTGGGGAACGCTGGGCTGCTGGGGAACGCTGGGCTGGGGGGACGCTGGGGAAATGGGGCCGGGGCCGGTGCGGCGCGAACGTAAAATTGTCGGGGCGGGGAGGGCACGGGGCGGAGAGGGCATTGGGCTGCTGGGGAACGCCGGGGCGTCGGGGGCACTGGGCTGCTGGGGAGCGCTGGGGGGAGGAGGTGGCGGGGGAAGAGGCGAAGGCGGTGCGGCGCGGCGCGAAACTCCAAAAATGTCCAGGCGGAGAAGGCAGTGAGCAGAGAGGGTACTGGGCCGCTGGGGAACGCTGGGGGGTGCCGGGCGGAGGGGGAACTGGGCGGGGCGCGCGCCTGGGCTGCTGGGGGACACTGGGCTGCTGTGGAACGCCTGGGCCGCGAGAGAGGGGCCGGGGCGGCGCGTCGGAGGAGGCCACTGGGCGGGGAGGGCACTGGGCTGCTGAGGAACACTGGGCTGCTGGGTAACGCTGGGGAAATGAAGGCGGAGGGGTGTGCGCCGCAGAAATAAAGTTCTCGCGGCGTGGGGGGCATTGGGCGGAAAGGACACTGGGCTGATAGAGAACGCCAGGGAAGGGGGGTGAGGGGAGGGGGTCTGTGATGTGCGCTGGGGGGTGGAGGCGGGGGGGGGCGCGCTGCGCGGAAATACAATGGTCGGAGTTCAAGACGCAGCATGCAAGAACATGACAAGTGGTCGGGGCGGAGAGGGCACTGGGCTGCTGGGGAACGCTGGGCTCTTGGGGAACACTGAGCTGCAGGGGCACGCTGAAAGGAGTCCGGCGCGAACATTAAAATGATCGGGGTGGAGGGGCGCTGGGCGGGGAGGGCAGTGAGCTACTGGGGAGCATTTAGCTACGGGGGCGCACTGGTCTGCTGGGGCACGCTAAGAGTGAGGGTCGGGCTGGTGCGACGCGAAAAAAAAATGATCGGGGCGGCACTGGGCTACTGGTGAACGCTAGGCTGCTGGGGAACGACGCTGGGTTGCTGGGGAACGCTGGGAGGTAGGGGCGGTGCGACGCGATAGTCAAGTTGTCGGGGCGGAGGGGCGCTGGGCGGAGAGGGCACTGGGCTGCTGGGGAGAATTGGGCTGCGGGGGAAACGCTGGGCTGCTGGGGAACGCTGGGGGGGGGCGCTGCGACGCGAATCTATGGTGGGGCGATGCTGGCATTGGGCTGCGGAGGAACGGCGCTGGGTTGCTGGGGAACGCTGGGGGGAGGGGGCGGGGGGGGAGGGCGCTGCGACGCGAACGTAAAGTGGTCGGGGCTGAGAGGGGGCGGGGCGGATGGGCACTGGGGGGAGGGTGGGCTGGTCTTCTGGGGAAGGCTGCGCTGCTGGGGAACGCTGGGCCGCTGGGGGGGGGCGGTGCGACGCGAAAGTAAAGTGATCGGGGCGGAGGGGAAGTAGGATGAGGAGGAGGTCTTGATGGTCCTTGGGCCCTCTTGGAGCGTCTTTGAGGTCTCGGAGGAGCCTCCTGGAGCCTCTTTGGACTCTCGTGGGGGCCTCTTGAGGGCGCCTCTGGGGGGGGGGGATGCTGGGCGCCTCCCTGGCGGTGATGAGCGCCACTTTGTGTTCTCTTGGGGCCATCTTGGAGGAGATCGATCAAAAAAGAGTGAGAAAACATTGCCCCCCCTCAGAGGCTCCAACATTGCTTTCTCGGGGCCTCTTGGGCCGCTCTTGAGCGCCCCTTTGGCGCTCTTGGGGCCGTCTTGAGCCTCTCCAGGGCCATCTCGGGGCCATCTTGAGGCCCAAGAGGCTCATCGGAAGCAAAAGGCGAGAAGCCGGAACACTTTTGACGTCGGCGGCGAGGCACGAGCTGCACCAGCGAGCGGCGATCCGGGGCGATCGAAACTGGAAACCAAAACACCTTGATTGTCCATAGGTTTCTAAGGATTCTAAGGGATGGTGGCCTCTTGGGGGGTGCCTTGGGAGGCGTGAAGGGCACTCGGAACTCTCCTGGGGCTGTTTTGGGCAGTTCTGGAGGCATGTGGGAGGCTATATTGAACGATCGTGAGCTGTCTTGAGCCATCTTTGAGGCCATCTTGGGCTGCCGAGGGCCCTCTTGGAGCCGTCTTGGGCCATCTTGGGCGCTCTAGTGCCTCGCTCCCCCCCACCTTCCAGGCCCAGTGGAAGAGGTGGGGGAGGGGCAGGGAAAGGAGGGG